AAATAATAACAGTTACTGTAAATAGCTATTATGAGAATTAAATGAGATGATATACAAAAAAAATGTTTGCCTAGTGCTGACACATTATAAGTATAGACTAAATCTCACTTAATATTAAGATAATAAAGTAAATAAGAATAGGAGATAAAACTCACTATCTGCAAAAATATTATTGTCTGCTGATAAAATTAAGAAAGAGAATCCACTATAAAAAATAGTGTAAATCAGAGTATTCAGTAAGGTGACATGAACAATATTAAAATCAAGACAGCTTTCCTCTATTCCGGGAATCAATACTGATATCTTGGAGGATAACCCATTCACAATAACAGCTGATATCACAGAACACAAAGGCATAAAGAAAGCTAATGTGAAACATGCAAGAACTTTATGAAGGCAATCTTTGAATGTTATTGAATAAAATGAGCATTATTAAGAAAGCACTAAGAAAAGGGAAAGAGCTTGTGAAATAATGAATTTCTTATCATTTAGGGTTTGAACAGATACTGGCTGACCGATTTTCAGGGATTTATAGAACATAAATTTGAAATGGTCACCTCCAAGCATAAGCTTTTTTGAAATCAACTTAAATGATGCTTTGCTCATTATACAACATGAATGTATTTTTCTAGAATATAAGCCAGAGGATTCAATAAATTAGCAAGAAAAAGAATAAGTTTAAATCGCATTATATGATCTTCAGGTGATCTTTCTAAAACAATGTCTGAGGAATAAATTTGATCTCCTGGAAAACAAATGGGAGGTATTACTTGTCATTAGATTTTAACTATGATTATTACTCACTAAAGGCGTTTCTGTTTGTTGACTTAACATGCCTCTCTCTCTGTTTGGCATTTTTATCATCCTCCTCCTTAATTACACTTTTGTCAGACCTTGTGAGAACCACCTCTTGTGTACTAAATTCATTTAAAACCTCTGTTTCAACTATAAATAAGTACATGAAGAACAGATCGATCACCATCAAATTGGTTTTAACTGATCAACACTTAAGTGCACATATAGTAGTAACATTCATCAGGTGTCGGGCAGGTGGGAGCGGGGAGGAGGGGATGGGTGCATTTACACCTAGTGGGTGCTGTACACACCGTCTGGGGGATGGACCCGCTTGAAGCTATGACTCGGGTGGGCCAAAGGCAATATACGTAAGCTAAACATTGGTACCCCCATAATATGCTGAAATAAAAAAAATTAAAAAAAAGAAAAACAGATCAAATTATTATAAAACCCAAAGCACTGTGAATAAGAACATACAATACAAATGCCACTTGGATTGGACTCTGAAAATTAAAGAACTAGCTTTAATGTCATCTCTTCAGCAAACTTTTCTGGTGTGGACTGAGTTTTGCCCCGGCCCAAATGCACATGTTAAAGCCCTAGCCCTAAATGTGGTTGTATTTAGAGATAGAATCTTTAAGGAGGTAATTAATATCAAGTGAAGTCATAAGACTGGCAACCTAATCCAATAGGATTTGTGTCTTTATAAGAAGAAGAGACACCAGGAGAGCACACATACAGAAGCAAAATCCAGTGAGAAGGCAGCCATCTGCAAGTCAGGAAGAGAGGTCTCACCAGAAACCAGCCCTATCAGCACATTGATCTTGAACTTCCAGCCTTCAGAACTGTAAGAAAATAAATTTTTGTTGTTTAAGTCACCCAGTGTGTGATATTCTGTTATGGCAGCTCAAGCTAGTACACCTCTCTTCAGTCCCATTCACCCACCCAATCAATTTCATCCAGCTGGGTTTCTCCAACAGAACTTTGCCCTTCATGCTATTGATTCTTATGTGTCTCTTTCCCCCACTAGTTAGCAATAACTTCAGGAATAAAAACTATGGTTTATTTATTTTTATATTCATCAATGCTGGTGCCTCCCATAAAACTAAGTAAATGCCACCAACAACCAATTCTTTTGTATTAATAGACATCTTTCCACAATACACAAATGACTGACAATGTTAAGAAACGTATTAGTCGCTCGTGTGTAACAGGATTTGAATCAACTTACTTCTTTCTTAAATTCCACTTGATAAGCGTTTTATTGATGGAATGGGCCTCTTTGTTTTCAATAGAAATATTTTATCAATTGATCATTTTAGTGCAAAGAGTGGAAGGTGTGATTACGAGGAATGGTATAGTGAGGGGGAAATGTCAGTCACTGAAACAGTAGGGAATTCCCTCTCTCATCCTGCACAATGTTACCGGTGTCTGTGACCCCCAGTGCTAGACAAGCCCATTCCAATTTGAAGCACAAGGTGATATTCTATCATTAATACATATTTTTCATCAAAATAGGGTCCTATTCATTTAATTATACCAAAGATATGGATCTTTGACACTGTCTTCTATGACTTATTTTTGTCTTTTAATTTTTTAAAATGTTGAAGTCTGACAATCCTTTTTGTCCACTTTCCTCTAAATGTAAGTATTCTCCCTGCACAATTCCATCCCTTGCTGATGACCCTAAGAATTATATCTTTAACTTAATCCTGCTTCCTAAGCTCCACATGGTTATTCCATAGTCACCTCAGTTTCTACGTATCCAAACTGAATTCATTATCATTCCCCTCCAAAACAACTTCCTCCTATATGTTGCGTGTATGTTTTAGTCGGCTTGGGCTGCCATACCAAAATACCACAGACTGGAAGGCTTAAACAACAGAAATTAATTTTCTTAGCATTCTGGAGACTGGGAAGTCCAAGATCAAGGCGCCAGCCAATTCAGTTTTTGGTGAGGGCTCTCTTCCTGGCTTACAGACAGCCACTACTTTCTTGCTATGTCCTCACATGACAGAGAGAGAGAGAGACGGAGAGAGGGAGAGAATGAGAGGGAGAGAATGAGAGGGAGGGAGAGAGAGATCTGGTGTCTTCTCATATAAGGACACTAATCCTATTGGATCTGGGCTCCACCCTTATGATCTCATTTAACCTTAATTATTTCCTTGCTCCAAATGCAGCCACACTGGGAGTTAGGGCTTCAATTTATGAATTGGGGGTAGGGGGGAGCAGTTCAGTCAGTCCATAGTAATATAAATGATCATTCTACACATCCATTATCTAAAATCAAACACCTAAAACTTAATGAATCTCTTTGCCTCACCATACTAATCCCAATCACTGATCAAGTACTATCAACTTGCTTCTTTAGTATCTTCCATCCTTACCACCTCATCTTTGGCCAGTCTATTTTTTATCTTTTTTTCTGTATATTTGGCATATTGTCTTAACTCTTCTTTCTACCTTCAGATTTATACAGTTCCTTACCCACAGTGGTCCACCCTCCACACTATTCCTTAAATAAACTTTCTCAAATGTAAACTTTATCATGTTGCTTTCTTACTTCAAAACTTTAAGGGACTCCCCAATGGCTTTTCAGTGGTCTTACTGCTGTAGCTTCAACTCCTGTAGGAGCTCCCCTTACCTCCTACACTGCAGGCACATTAAACTCTTCATAGTACCCAAGGAGTGCTGTGATGTTACGTGCCTCTGTACCTTTGCTCATGCTGTTCCTTTTGCCTGGAATGCCTTTCTCTCTCTTCTCATGTATCTAGTATAGTCTAGACACCTCCCTTTTAAATTTTTTATTATTCCTCCAGGTAGACATGATTCCCTGTGTAATATTCCTACTGGACCCTCTAGGAACTTCTATCAAAAGACAGATAACACCTTGTTGTACTATGCATTATTAACAATATTCCCTCTATTATACTCTAAATAACTTATTAAGTCAGAGGAGATGCCTTATATATTTTTCCATCCTCTACACCTAGTTCAGTGCATGACCCTTAATACCTGTACAATGAATAAATGCATGAGTAACAGAGAGAATGGAACTGTGTGATTTAAATTAATTAAATGCACCCCCCAAAAAAATCTCATAGCAGAAAGTAGGGACTTTTACCATGACATATTTTTCCATCACCATGAAATCCTGTTGGACATGAACCACAATGATAGGAGCCAAAGGTATTCAGGCACTCTACTCCTGCAAAGCAAGGCTTGGATTTACACTCATCAATGTCTTCCTGGCAATTTTTGCCTACACAAAATATAGATCAAGTTCAAATTATTTAATTTGAAAAACATTATTGGACTTCTTATTACGTGACATCTACTCTTTTTTTTTTTTTTTTTTTTTTGAGACAGAGTCTCACTGTGTTGCCCGGGCTAGAGTGCCGTGGCGTCATCCTAGCTCACAGCAACCTCAAACTCCTGGGCTCAAGTGATCCTCCTGCCTCAGCCTCCCGAGTAGCTGGGACTACAGGCATGTGCCACCATGCCCGGCTAATTTTTTCTATATATTTTTAGTTGTCTGATTAATTGCTTTCTAATTTTAGTAGAGACGGGCTCTCGCTCTTGCTCAGGCTGGTTTCGGACTCAAACAATCTGCCCGCCTCGGCCTCCCAGAGAGCTAGGATTACAGGCGTGAGCCACCGCGCCCGGCCGTGACATCTACTCTTTATGTATATCTTCCTTACCCCAAAACAGTGGTCATGTGTTAGGAGAAAGAAGTGTGCTGTTTTTAAAATTTACTGTATAAAAAAAAAATTTACTGTATAATCAAAAAGAAAGTCATTAATTAGATTTCATTTAATATTAAACCAGACCCTTCAAGTATTTAAGGATTTTCTTATAGATAAGATAACTTAAGAATTCTATTAATATTTAAGGCAAAACATTATATTATAGCAGTAATTTGTACTTTGTTTAAAAACTCAATGATTTTTAAAAGATTATTTAGAATGGTTTCCTGCTTAGACTAAGGACAAATTGTTTGGTCCAATTATTGCATTGGCTTTGAAAATTCAAGAAAATTTTATAATGTGTTAGGAAAGTCAGTCTTTCCTCAAAAGTTTTTGAGATAAATTGGTGCCCTTTGAAATGGTTAACAACTTATTTAAATGAGTAAATTCACAGTCATATATAGATGGTAGCCCTTATTATACTAAAATTCATGAAGTAATCATTTGAATTTTTTCAAATATAGTCTACAGCACAGTAGAAAAGAGATATCTATATTGACAGTTCCAAATGATAAATTACTGTTTTAAAACACTGAAGAAAATTAGAAGGCACATAAATATTTTGCTTAGTTCTCCTGTAATGTTAAAATAGGCATCTTTAAGAAAATATCATCTCAATAACTGCATATTTACTTAATATTTATATCTATTTGACTTTAAAAGTATTGGTATTAGTTTTTTAGAAAGCCTTAGGAAATTAAAGGTTGTTAGTCATACTTATTTCTGGAATCACGTTTTAGGATAATTAATGAGTTAGTGAATAACATCTCATTTGATTTCAACTCTAATTTATACAATGATATTTCTAAGTTAATGAATTATCAATAAAATTTCTCTTGAGTGATAATTTTTATATTTTCCCTGGAATAATTTGTTTCTTATAACATTATATTTCAATAATAATACATTTAAACATATTTCTACCTACCAAATGTAGGTAGCCTACCTGCTTTGCAGGTTCCTACATGGCTATTACAGTTATAAAAACTGACAAAATTTCAATAGTATAGGTAAGTAATTTACAATTAACAAAACAAGGGATATGGATAGCAAATATATTTGTGATAACTTTTACTATATTTTTTTAAATGTGTATTCAAATCTTTAGGACCATACATTGGCTTGAGTAATCTATAATTGAGTGTTTAAAGGAGCTTTCCTTTCTAATTTGTTCATGTTCTAATTTTGTTCATAATGAATGAAAACTTACCTTTGAATTCAGGTGGACAATCACAGGAATAACTGTGAAAATCACTAATACATTTGCCAAGGCCACAGGGGTTTGATTGGCACCCACTGACATCCACTTCGCAAAGACTGCCCTGGAAGCCAGGCAAGCAGACACACAGGTACATTCCACTCCCTGAAGGAAATTTCATATCAGACACACAGGATCCACCATTCAAGCAATCACAAGACTTCACAGTCACCTACAAAAAAAAAAAAAAAATGTAAATGCTTTATTTTTCAATAAAATCATCTTCAGTTTATGCCCTGAAAATCATACCAAGCATGTATATTTACTTGTAAGTATAACCAAATCACATATATTTACTAAACATATATTTATTTAATATAGAATGATATTCAAAAATAGTTTACTAAGACAATTACGTCCACTGTCAAGAGCATAGCCACAATATGAATGCTAGGGATAACATTTTTAAAAATATTACGAGATGATTATTTCTATAATGCAAGCAGAATATCTGAAAAAAATCATTAAATTGGAAAGCAGTTAGTCACCTGGGTTATCCCCAAATTTAGAGAGTGTATAATCGCTTGAATTACTGTGTTAACATGGCATAGAATACAGTTGCTCTTCATAATATTGCTTCTGAGTGGAAGTGTGTCCCCAGTTTCAAGTGAACAAAGGACACAAAAACAGTTTATAAGTATTAAGTGCTCATGACTGACATAATCAAAAGAAAAGTCAGGCCCCGGCGCGGGCACCAGAGGACTGCAACCACAAGGAGTGTCCTGAGGGCCCCGAGGATGACTGCAACCCCTGACCCCGGCCCACGCACCAGAGAGGCTGACCCCTGACCTCCCACCTCACGGGGTAAACCCTCAGCTCCTCGAGCTGCACTCGGCGCCAGGCCCTGCCCAAGTACTCCTGACACCACTGCCATGCGAGGACACAGCAAGAAGGTACCATCTATGAGGAACAGGCCCTCACCAGACACTGAATCTGCTGGCACCTTGATCTTGCACTTCCCAGCCCCCAGAACGGCCTTGGAGTTTCCCATTAATACAATCCCAAGAGTAACAAGAAGCTCTCAAATTAAAAAAAGCAGTTAAGAAGCAAAGTCATGAAGTATCAGGACAGCAAACCGGCACTGACCACAAATAGTACATTTCAGATAATGGAATTATTAACAAACACAGATTACAAAATGCCTATGTTTAATATAATTAGTGTTATAAAAGGTGAAGTAGAAAAATACGTGCAGAAACCAAGAAACTACAAAGAATAGTCAAGGAGTTTAAAAAGAACAAAATGAAAGTTCTAAATGGAAAAGGATTTTTCCTTTTCTTTTTGTTTCCTCCAGGCATGTTTTGCACTGATAAAAGGAAAGTTTTAATTCAGTTGGAATTTTAGTTGAGTTTTAATTTCAACTAAATTTAAAATTCAATACACAACTTTAACAAGAGATTATAAATAGCTGAAGACAGAATTAGTGAACTAAAAGATAAATGTGAATAAAATACCTAGAATACTACCTGGGAAGACATAGATATGGAAAACATGAAAGGTTAAGTGGCCTGAAGGCTAGATAGAATAAGAAGTTCCAACACGAGTGTAATTGGAGTGCTAGAAGGAGAAGAGATGGAATGGAGCAGAGGCAATATTTGAAGATATAATGGCTGTGAGGTTTCTAAACCGATGAAAGAGAAATTCATATAATTAAGAAGCTCAGTGAGAAGTTGGGGCAGAAAAAAATATGACATAAATCCAGACCTATATGCCTCATATTGAAACTTCGGAACACCAAAGACAAAGAAGTCCTAAATGCAGCTGGAGGTGAAAGAAAAGTGACCTTGAGAACAACTGGGCAATGACTTTCATAGCAACAAGGGAAGCCAGAGGAAGACGTTGGAATGAGACCTTTGGGGTGACGATGGGCACTCATTACCTGACCTAGAACTCCATAGCCGGTAAAAATATCTTTCAGGAACTAGGATAAAAATAAAGACATTTTGACCAACTGAAAGAGTTTACCACCCAAAGATTCTCATTAAAGAAAATTCTGGCTGGGTGCGGTGGCTCACACCTGCAATCCTAGCTCTCTGGGAGGCCGAGGCAGGTGGATTGTTTGAGCTCAGGAGTTCGAAACCAGCATGAGCAAGAGCGAGACCTCGTCTCTACTAAAAATAGAAAGAAATTAATTGGACAACTAAAAATATATAGAAAAAATTAGCCGGGCATGGTGGCACATGCCTGTAGTCCCAGCTACTCGGGAGGCTGAGGCAGGAGGATCACTTGAGCCCAGGAGTTTGAGGTTGCTGTGAGCTAGGATGACGCCACGGCACTCTAGCCCGGGCAACACAGTGAGACTCTGTCTCAAAAAAAAAAAAAAAAAAGAAAGAAAATTCTAAAAGATGTACTTCAGGTAAAAAGAAATGGTGCCATAGGAGGGTCTGATGTGCAAAAACGAATGGAAAGTGTGCTCTCACTGCTCTTCCAGACTTGGAGGCTCTGCTGGGGCATTCACTCTATGGACAGTCACTGCCCCCCACCCCCTGCAGGGCCTCCCTGGCCAGGCTTCACTCCTTCTGGTCGCGCCAGGCGCTCCGAGACCTTCTAACAGTACTTTGGCGGACGAGTTGGAGTCATCCTTTGAGGCTTGCCTAGCTTCTCTGGTTAGCCAGGACTATGTCAATGGCATCAGTCAGAAAGAAATTCGAAATAGTGTCGATCAGTATATCCAGAAACTTCTGGATATTGCAAGACAGAATGTTTTTTTCCTACAAAAATGCAGAAACCAGAGCAAGTTATCAAAGTGTCTTGGAGCTAAGGAATGAATTACTGTCGAAAGACACACGTTTGCATGTGACAAAGCTGAGGCCCTTGGAGCAAGTGCTGGAGGACATCGGCCTGCAGCACAACAAGCCAGTGACATCCCTCAGGGCTCCTTGGCCTACCTGGAACAGGTGTCTGCCAATATCCCTGCACCTCTGAAGCTGGCCCGAGGGAAAGAGCAACAGCATCAGCCTGGGAGTGGGCTGGTGTGTGAGGCAGCCTCAGACAGACTGTTTGCCACACACTTCTCATAGATGTGGCATTTTGGAAGAACTCTTTGCAGGAGACGGAGTTGATTTTAGTTTTATGCTCCCACCTAAAATTTTCCCACTATTTTTATAAGCTGCTTGATTTCTTGAGTGCTTTATAAAATGCCTATAGTTTGGGTAAACCAAGTAAATTTTTTTGTCTTTAGCAAAGTTTAGTCTGTTAGTGTGATGACACAGATTCTTTGTTATGGTATTTTTTTTGGCTTGTTTTTAAAATTCTGTATGACTTTTCATCTCTTCGTGTGTGTTTCCAGTTGTTAGATTAGTTTTTCGATTTGAGGGAAAAATCATAATAGTCTGAAAATCAGGAGATAAAGATTTTGGTTGTAGGCCTTTTATGATAATTACCCCTCAGTGGTAGCATAGAAAAATAGGTAAATCTGCCATATTCCAAGACTGTGAACTACCTCAAGAAGAGGAATCTCAGGGAAAAATATAATGCTTCCAGAGCTCTCAGAATGAGGATATTTTGTAAATAGGTTGGAAGAGGATTAAACTATCCTGGGTTAGCGTAGCAATATTGCAGTAGGATCCTTAGGTTAATGCTAACTTTTATGTGGGGTAGGTTTATATTTGGTGGGGTGTTTATTTACATGTTTTTTGACAGGAAGGAATGTAGTAGGAGTAATGATACGTTAAATTTTGTTGCGTTCTGTGATAAAAAATCAGTTTAAGTATTGGGACAGAGCCTGTTCTCAGTGCTGTGACTCTGGGACACAGGTGAAATTTAAAGCATTAAAGCTTGCTCTGATCAAAAAAAAAAAAAAGAAAAATCAGTAAAGAAAAGAGTTATCCCCCCAAACACAGACTTTCAGCTGAGTGGACCCATTTCAGCCCCTCCCGGCAACTTTGCACAGAAACAAAGAGTAGACCTTTGACCCTGCTAACAGCAGTTGTGGAGCCTGAGGGCAGGCTTACCCAATCCAGCCCCACCCAGACTCACTCCCCTCACTGAGGTGGAAAATAAGGACACACCTGGAAATCCCAGGGCCCCATCCACCACCCCAGGCACAAGAGGGCCTCTCTAGAGGAATAAGAGCTAGCTACAGGACCCAAAAACAGCACTGCAGCTCGTTCCTCCCTGCAAGTGCCACCTACTGACAGGGAGGTCATCCTGCACACCCTTTTACTGCATCTACTGATTCATCATAAAGGGTGTGGTCAAATCTCACCCACAAACACCACCTACTGGCTCAGAGACTAAATAGGGCACGTCATTATCCAAACGAAAATCTAAAGGCAAGAAGGAACAACTGATCGAGATGGGAAGGAACCAGCGAAAGAACTCTGGAAGTATGAAAACTCAAATGGAAAGCACGCCCCCAAAGAGGAACAACAGCTTCCCAGCAATGGACATTAACCAAACTGAGAACACTAAAATGACAGAAGAAGAATTTCAAACACGGATTGTAAGAAAATTGAATGATATGCAAGAAAAAATGGATAACCAACACAAAGAAACCACAAAAAAAAAATCCGGGACTTGGAAGAAAAATTCACTAAAGAAATTGAAATATTAAAGAAAAATCAAACCGATC